GGGAGTGACTACTTGGGGGGAGGGGCAGGTATGCTGTCTCTCTCTCTCTCTTGCTATGTGCCTTAGGGCCTTGATCACCTGGCTCTTGATCCAAACAAGATTTATGCTTTAATCAGATCAAAACCACAAATTTTCCATTTATGGGATTCTTTCTTACGGGGGGAAAAAAAAATGCCTCCTTTACCAAAATAAACAAGCCTGACATAGTCTGCTATCATTGTGGTATTGAAGAGCACCGTTTTGGAAATTGTGAGGCAATTGGAGTAAGATTTAAAGGAACATCCCCGTCTCTATTCCTGTGTCTATGTGTTGCCTGAGTCTAATCCTGAAATAGTGCCCGCACCAATCAGTCTGATTCTGGCCCAGCTCAGGCTCATCGAGCAAAATGCTTTTTTCCTAAACATTTGACTTGGAATCAAATCTTTCTCCCATGAGATGCTCACAAAACTGGTGTTTCTACCATTTCACCCCATGTTGAAGCCCCTCTAATGTTTCTTCTTTTGGAAACAAATGGGTTTAAATTTCTCGTGGGGGAGTTTTTATGGAGGGGCTTGCCTGTGTTCAGCCAGCAGCGCTGATGCACTTCCAGCACCCACGCCCCGCCTTCTTCCCAACTTCGTCAGCCTGAGGAACAAATACCGAGAAGGAAGCAAAAGGTGGTGACTCTTTCCTGTCCATGACTTCTGGTCCCCATCCCCAGATGAGAAGCCAAGAGAGAGGCTGAACAGCACCCTCCCAGGTCCCTTCCGAGGCAGCCCCAGCCTGCAGCGCTGCCCTTCCCAAAGGCTGGAGGCTTCCAGCCAGTGGGCTGCTGGTCAAAAGGGACCAAGCCAGGGTTTGGTCAAGAAACAGGCTGGATATTGCGTGTTTGAAATTCAAGAGAAAAGGCAAGAAACATAGAGGAGAGAGAGACCAAGCAGGAACTCAGGCAGGAGTGGTTGCAGGAGTTGCAGAAGGAGCCAGTGGGATGGATGCTGGTGCCGGGGAGGAGCCCACAGGGCTCGTGGAGAGGATGGGGTTGATGAAATGGTCAGAAAGCATTGCCATGCAGAGAAGCAGAAGCATGGCCCTTCAACACAGTAACCCAGGGGTCCTTGCACAGCCTTGCGGGCCCCACCCATCCCGCCCGGGGAGCCCCTATGGGTAAAGCCTGCCACAGACTGACTCCTTGCATCCCGGTCCCTTTAAACCCACACACAAGGTCAAATACCTGTGTTCTCCCAACTCCCCCAGGTGATAACACAACCCGCTGTGAAGCATGTGACCGTGAACAAACCAGTTTAAATTAGTCTCAAAAAAGAAAAAAGAATGGGACCTTTGGATGGAGAGCTAAGTTGAACGGAACGCGTAGGGAAGATAAAGTTAGATAACATTTTGAGATAAATGTTAATGACAGAAATATAAAGAATAACATTTGTCCATTGTGAGCATTTTTTTCTGTGGACATAGTGGAACGTTTTGAATAGTTGAGTTTGTTGTAGCTCAAGGACCTCACTGTTGTAGCCTCCCATGTTTTTGGTAAATCAAGTAAATACAAAAACGGAAGTTGGAGGGGAGGGTATAGCTCAAGTGGTAGAGCACATGCTTAACATGCACAGGGTCCTGGGTTCAATCCCCAGCACCTCCTCTAAAAATAAATAAACCTCATTACCTCCCCGCCCCCAAAATAAAACAATTAAATAGTATAATAAGAAATAAAATATTTTTGAAAAAATGAAAGTTAGCATCGTTGGGGCTCCGTCTTGCGCTGCTGCCTCTGGGGCCCAGATGTCAGGAGGAAACCTCCCTTGGCATCTCCTCGGGCAGCCTGGGTCCCATGGAGTCTGTGCATCTGGTGGAACTCAGCCTTCAGCCTAGCATCGCTGCAAGTGACATGTTTGCTTCCATGGTGGGGACTGAGCTCCTGCACACGGCAAGTCAAAGGGTGGGCTCCCTGGGTTCCCGGGCCATGTCACCTCTGCTTGCTGGCCAAGGCAGTCGCGTCCTCCCAGGGTCATGGGTTCGCTCTTCCTGGTGTTTTGTTTTCAGGTGAGTGAGCACTCGCTCTTGCCAGCCAGACACCATCCCTCCCCCATGCAGGAGTGGGAGGAGGGGACACTCCAGGAGCAGACTCCAGACCCACCCCCCAGCTCTGTCGTGTTTACCCCCTGTCACCCTTCTGTCTCACATCACTGCTGCTCTGATCTTGTTGCCTGAGGGCGGGGGAATCTTAAACTCTCTGTGCTCACACATCACCTCTCAGACCCTGCTGGGGACCCTGCCCACGCCATCTCTTGCTGTGTTTCCCAGGAAGTAAAATTGCCCAGGGAACACTGCCCTGTTGCCATTCTTGGCATCCACATTCAAACCATCAGTGAAACTCTCTGCAGGGCTTGCCCACTGCCTTATGTAAGAGGCACCTTGAGAGCTCCTCTCCGTCTCCTCCTTTTCCCTTCGAACTGGTACCTTTGCCGCAGGCTGGCCCAGGCTGGGCCAGCTGGGAGGAGCCAGCTAGGATCACGTGCATATGACTCTAGAAGACCAGGAGCTTTTTGGGGACAGAGACATAGCATCGTCATCCATCCTTACATCCTCAGCACTGGGTCTGGCACGTGGTAGGCACTTCCTAGGTGTTAATGGACCTGGCTGGATGGGACCCTGTTCAGTCTCTGAATGCTGTCTTACAGTGTTCTGCCAACTGTGGCAAAGGGACACGGAAACGAACTGTGACGTGCACCAACTCACAGGGAAAATGCGACGCTTCCACGAGGCCGAGAGCCGAGGAGGCCTGCGAGGACTACTCCGGCTGCTACGAGTGGAAAACGGGGGACTGGTCCAAGGTGAGTGCAGCGCGCTTGCGTTTCCTTTCCACCCAGGCCGTGCTGAAGACTCAAGAGGCAAGAACTCAGCTCTCCCGCTGTGGGCCCCAGTTTGACCAGGTGATCCCAGTCTTACCAGGCAAATTCACTTTCTTTCCCAACTCCACACCTGCCGGTGACCCCACACAGTGCGCATTCGGGAGGGAACTGAGTGTCCCCAAAGTAGGAAGCGGGCGCTCTGGGTGCCAGCCTGCAGATCCGTGCATCCTGCAGTCGGCTGGGCCACCCAGTCACGATCACGGTGAGAGCCTCATAAATGTGTGCGAGCCTTGCCCGAGGCGGATGCAGAGGGCTGTGGGCAACCAGAACTTAGCTGGTTTTCAGGACCCTTGGGCGAGGGCCTCGGGGACGCAGGATGGGAAAGGGCAGAGCCTGGGGCCTCGGAGTTAATCAGCACTCGAGTGAGTACAAGTTCTTTGCTGTTTAACCCTTCTTTTCTTCGTTCACCTGATCTCTTTAACCAATACCTAAGGTGAGCACTGTTGTCACCCGTGAGAACCATCCGGGAGAGCTTCCAGCGCCTTCCCCCAAACACTGTAAAATTCCTAACGTCTGATTTTCTGGTGAAAATTTCCAACAGGCGCCTAGAGTGTGTTTGTTTCCACTTGGTCTCAGCAACTGAAATCTCCCCATTTGCTTCCCTCGATACCTGCCCTCGGAGGCTGCAGACTGGCCGCCTGAGAGCCGCTGGTTTCATGCAGCCTGTGCAGTATCTTAAATGGTTTGGATTCCATTGCTAACATTAAAAATGGGGAACATTTCACCTGAAAATCTGGATTTGGGGCTCTCTACAAAACATCCTTTCATGGCTTTCCTGACCTGGGGCCTGGCAGGAGCTGGTGCAACTCCCCAGGCCACGGTGTCCCAGCTCCTCCAGCCACTTTGTGCTTTAATCTATCTGCCTGACCAAATGTTGTCCGGACCCCATACGTCCAGGTGTGAACTAGGATAAAGCTGTCATTGTAGTTGGGGGATTAAAAGGGGCTTTGTAAATTGGCAGGGGAAGAGGTGTAGCTAGTGTTAGAGCGCGTGCTTAGCATGCGTGGGGTCCAGGGTTCAATCCCCAGTGCCTCCATTAAATAAATAAATAAACCTAGTTTATCCCCCACCCCCCCACAAATCCAGAAGGGTCTTCGTGGTCACAGATGTCCCTGGGCAGGAAGCAGAGGTGAGAAGCGGTCAGCTCGGGCCTGGGCTGCACGCATCCATCAGGGTCTGGGGACCCCGGCATTGTCTCCTCTCTGCTGCCACCCCTGCGCCGCCTGGCACTAGTCCTCTCCTGCTGGGTTACCCCTGTTTTACAGAAGAGAGAATAGAGGCTCAGAGAGGTCAAGTGACTCAGCCCACCTCTCCGGCAGAGTCCAGGCTCCTGGACCCTAATGCAGAGCTCAGTTTGCATGGTGGACTCAGACTGAGAAAGGCCCCAGAGTCCCTGTGATGGTGGCTTTTGGCCACAGAGTGCCGGGCATATGGGTGTCATCCAGCCAGAGCCTGGGTTTCCCCCGCCCAACCGTTCTGGTTTTGAGGACCAGGTGGGCACTTTCATTTTCTTAAGTACTGTGAACTTCCTGGTCCTGGGAGCAGCAGAATGGCGGAGGATGGGTGTAAATAGTCCCAGAGGAGCTCAGCACCACACTCAGCCCCTCCTCAGCCAAGGACACAGGAGTGCATTCCAGCAACCTTCTCCCACTCAGCCCCTGGAGCATGGCTTCCAGGAAAATTGAGCTTTTAGCAGGCCCCCCTCCTCTTAAAAGCCAGGCCGTACAGAATAACACCTCCTGGCCTTCAGGACAGTGAGGCATTGGAAGGCCACAGTGCCTACTTTTTGCCACAGTCTGCTGATCACGTACCCCTGGCAGTAAGAACAGGAAAGATGGAGGGAAGGTGAAGGTCCAGGCTGCTGTCCGCGGCTGGAATCCAGTGGCATCCAGTTGGTGTGCATCTCACCTTTGGGGAGAGCACCTGGCTTGGACAGGGGCCAGCTGCTCCCTCCCCAGCAGGTCTGGCCAGAGCCAGGGTCCGGGGCAGACTCGTTCTTCCAAGTCAAAAACTGCCAGGACACTGAACTGGAAGGCTGCGTGTGCACATGCGTGCACCTCTGGGAGAAGGATGGATGTGGATGGGGGCTGCATAGGACTGAACCCAGAGACCCCCCACCCTGACTGTTTGCCTCTCCGCCACTCCCTTCTACAGCTGCCGTTGCTGGGTGGGCTGGCGCACATGCGCACCCGCACACACACGCCCAGTACAGTTACATAAATCTGTCCGTCACTCTTCCCTGTGCCTGCTCTGCAGAAGGGGAGGGATACAGGTCCCGAGGGGCCCCTGTCCTTGCTCACTGGGTCACCAGGCCAGGGGAAGTGGATTCCATGGGCTGCTTCTTCCCCTGACGTTTCCACTTGTTCAGATTGAATTTGCTTTCCAATTGACGTGTTGTTTTTGCTGGGCCCTTGTCACCCAGTTGGGGTCAGTGTACTTTTAAACCCATCACCACAGGTGACCCTCCTGTAACTAGCATAAACCTCCTACATGCCAGACTTTGAAGGTAGCAAACAAGTTCCCCAAAAGAAAAGTAGAAAGGAGTCTGAGCACTGTCAGATGACCAGTGTATCTGGAAGCTTTGGCGTCTTCCATCCAAGCAGTCTCCCTCCAGTCACTTGGCCCCAAGGTGCAGTTGAGAAAGATAAGCCTGTCCCCAGGGAGATGATGGATGGGCCAGCCCGAGGGCTTGCCACAGGTGCTGTCCTGCACTTGCGAAGTGAGACGGACCAGTCACCCCTCAGGAAGGGGCTGGCACTGACCCCTTCCCTTCACTGGGTGAGGGCACCTGAGAACAGCACCCGGAACCTTGGTGAGGCAGGGTGGGCTCGCGGGAAATCTGGAGCCCCCTCCCCTCCTGCAAGCTCGGCAAATGGCTGAGCTCTAACCGGGATCCCATCCGAGAGACGGGCTTCGCATTCCCACCCCTGCCGGCTGCATGCGTACTGCTCTGCTCAGTTTGAAAAATGTCCTGCAGCTGCCTGGTCTCTTGGGCTATTAGCTGTTTCCAGAACTGTGCAAAACATTGATTCCCCCTTCTCTCTGGGTCCACGCGTTCAGCCTGCAGGGAGCGAGATGCCACTTAAACTTCGAGAGGAGGGAATCGCATTTCTTTCTAGAATGGCATGACTTTTGATCCAACGTTGAGATGTTTCAGTTTCAGGACAAGAGTCATTCATCACCACTGAAATGACAGGATGTTTCTAATTAGAAACATACCTGGAGGCATTAGAAGAGCTGGTGTTTTTAAAGAAAACCGTTGGCTCTTACTGAAAAGATCGAAGTGGCCACTGACAGGTGCCTCAAATGAGGGCTGGTCTGACCTGTAAGGCCTCAGTCAAGCCCCGGGTATACCCCTCACACCTCAACCCAGATCTTAATGTGGAAATAACCGTGCTTCCCAGAGGTCTTAGGAGATCAAATGGCGCAATAAGCGTGCAAGTCCCTGTGGCCACAGAGCCCTGGATAATGTCAGGGAGCGCCTCTCCTTCAAACGTGGCTGTGTCAATGAGGTCCCCGCGCCACTGCCAGGTGCCTTCCTGTGCTGTGGGCAGAGAGGTGGGGGCTTAAGTTCCATGCCCTGAGAAACAAACAAACCTTGTGTCATGAGGGGGGCTTGTTCTAGAAAGCTTCTTAGCCCCAGCACCACTTCTGAGGCCTGCGCTCGCTTTGGTGGGGCCTGACCCCTCCCTCCAACTCCACACGGCTGGCCTGCCTGCCCAGATGGAGCTCCCACTGGACAGCACCTGTGGTCCTGCAGTCAGAACGTTGTGATCCAGCCAGCATTCCCTGAGCTCCTGTTCTGTGCCAACCTCTGCTGGGCACTGGGGGGTCTAAGAGTGAACAGTGACCCAGGCTAGATGCAGACAGATAGTGAGCCAACCACAGACAGGAGGCGACACCAAGTGCCCCTGGGCAGGTGTGAACACAGCCTCTTCCTTGGTCAGCCACCAACAGGGATACCAGTGGAGAATGATGCTACTTCTTCTGGGATCAGTGGCCTTGACATTCACCAGTGCTCTAGGATTTATAAAGCACGAATTTATAAAGCAAGTTATCCCCTTTTCCGGTGAAGAAACTGAGGCTCAGAGTGACGATGTGGCTTTTTTCTCGAGGTCACACACCTAGAAACTGGCGGGGCTAGGAGTCTGATGCCTGCATTCTGGCTCTTAATCCACCTTTCCTTCAGGTGCATAACAATGTCAGGGGCTTAGATGTCTGATTTGAGATGAGAAGGGGCTGGACTATAAGGCCTTCAGCTCTAACCATCATAGGCATAAGCTTGTTATAAGATCAAGTATCTACGTCCTCTCTCTCCAGCCCACCAATCAAAACCTGCTCTCCCAAGGGCTTTGTATCAATCATTTACACTTTAGTGTAAATCTGTTGTCTCTACAGGAGATCATGCATGTAGTCGCCCCTTTTTTGTGCAGTAAAATGTTGAGCCCTTATTAAAAGAGCCTTGAGCCCAAAGAGCCAATGTGACCGGCACTGGGAACATCAGAGCCCATTTCTCAGATGTGTGAAACTATATAACGCAGGCAGCCAGCACTCAGCATGAAGACAGGGATAAGCAAATACTCTATTTGACATTATCTTGGGGAGTATGAGCAGCTGTGAAAAGAGGGTCATTAAACTTCAGTGCTTTCCTGGGCAGGGGCAGGAGGAGAGGGACAGATACCCCCTTGGTGAGGAGCACTTTGTGTGGATGAATAGCGCCTGCCACTGAGTCACGGAATTAGAGAAAAGTCCAGGGCCCACGCCTGCTCAGATGGGAGAACTGGACTCACTGTAGAGCAGTGGAGTCCCTGGAAATTGCCAGGAGAGACACCTGCATGGAAGTGAACTGAATGTGGTTGACCCTTGTACAATGTAGGTCTGGACTGTGTGGGTATTTTTCAGTAGTAAACACTGCAGCATAC